CCTGAAGCAGTTGAAGGCCAGGCCATCTCCTGCGGTTAGAAGGCCTGCTCTTCTGGGGGTTGGGGAAGGAGCTTGGAGAGGCTCAGCCCCTTTCCTTCAGACACTACAGGCTTGCTTGCTTCAGTACTCAGGCTGCCTTCGTACTTAGTCCAGTCGAAGGCTTCTGGAGAAGGCAGGCCCCAGCTTTAGTTTAGCTGACACTGAACTCTAGCAAGAAGTGAGTTTCTTCCCCGAGTGAGGAGGCAGGGGTTGGTGATGGTTTGCCCCCTTTGCTTCAGTTATGCCACCGGCAGGACCACGGGTGTGGTGCTGGATTCTGGGGATGGCGTCACCCACGCCGTGCCCATTTACGAGGGCTTTGCCATGCCCCACTCAATCATGCGCATCGACATCGCTGGCCGGGACGTCTCTCGCTTCCTTCGCCTCTACCTGCGCAAGGAAGGCTATGATTTCCACTCATCCTCCGAGTTTGAGATTGTCAAGGCCATAAAAGAAGTAAGTGTTGCCCCCGTGGGCCCAGGGCTGGGAGAGGGAATGGGAATAGCAGCCAGGACCTCCGTGACCTGAAGTGAAGAGCGGCGAAGCTCCTGTCCTGGGGATCAGGCTCTGCCCTCCCCAGCCAGGCCTCCTGGCAGCTGTGTGGTCTCCAGCTGGGTCCCCTGACCCTGACGGATTCACCTTCCAAAGTGCTGCCGTCTTGTGGTAGAAAGGGAGCTGCCTCTATTTCCTAAGCCGGGTGATGAGCACACCCATGCTCCTTTACTTAATGCTTTTTATACATTACGTACAAATTACATACGTTCTTTCACATCCTTGAAGAAGTCAGAATACTTTTTTCTTTTTTGGTAAAATGAACCCTCCTGCCACCTATAGCTCTAGGAGACCTCGGAGCTGGGTAGGCGGTACCCAGAACCGTATGAGTAGTAGGAGAAAAACACCTGAGTCTGGACTAAAATTAGGGTGTGGTCTCAGACCCAAATCCAGAAAGCTGAGTTGCCACGCTTGCGCAGCAGGAAGGTGGAGCAGGTGAAAACGATATCCTAAGAAAGGGCAGGGAGATTTCGGTCAGCGTTCACTGGGCGGCACTTAGCATATGCAGCTCTAACGACCTTTAGGGCAGTCACTGCAATGGGCAGATTTCTGCAGCAGCACATCACTCCCGGGGGCTTTGACTGGGTAGGCGCCAGGTTTCCTGCCTGCCTGACTTGTGCTTCGTTCTGCAGAGAGCCTGCTACCTATCCATAAACCCCCAGAAGGATGAGACGCTAGAGACGGAGAAGGCACAGTACTACCTGCCCGACGGCAGCACCATTGAGGTAGGTGTCCGGACCTCTCCTCTCAGGCCCCCCAGGCCCCAAAAGCTCTGGGCCCAAACCAGACTTCCCACGGGCAGGCTGGAGTCAGGTCCTTCACACCATCTGCCTGGAGCAGCATAGCTCTTGAGCCGCAGCATCTCCTGCAGAGCGAGGTGCCAGGGACTTTGCTTGTCCTGTGTGGAGGGGAGGAGGCACCAGAGGCATCTTCCTAGGTCGGAATGGGACTAGGAAGGGTGAGGTAGAGTGCTGTCCTTAACCACTTAGGCACAGTGTAGGGTGAGTTCCATCTCCCTGGACCTCCACTGATAGGAAGAAATTTCCACAAATGAATGAATCCATCTATTAAGTGTCTGGCCGGCAAGTGCCAGAGCTAGGATTACGCACAGGAGCTTCCTCTCTGTAGTTTCCCAGGAGCCCTGTTTGTTCCTTTTTGTTCCCAGGAGCCCTCTCTTTGTTCTTCTTTGTGCCCTTGACGTACAAGGTCTTGCCTGAGCGTGGCCTTCCTAGCCACCTGGTTACTAAGCCATGGGCAGAGGGCCCTCTTTCATTCCCACTCCCAGAGGGACCTCAGCCCCCACCCCAGCCTGAGAAGCTTGCGGCCCCCCCGCAGATTGGTCCTTCCCGATTCCGGGCACCTGAGCTGCTGTTCAGGCCGGACCTGATCGGCGAGGAGAGCGAGGGCATCCATGAGGTGCTGGTGTTCGCCATCCAGAAGTCTGACATGGACCTGCGGCGCACACTTTTCTCTAACATCGTCCTTTCGGGAGGCTCCACCCTGTTCAAAGGTTGGTCTTTGCTCTCAGCGCCCTTCCCCAGGAAGCTTCCACATACTGCTGGGCCCCGATGCCCAGGGAATTGACGTGAGATTCTCCTTTCCTGCCCATTCAGGTTTTGGTGACAGGCTATTGAGTGAAGTGAAGAAATTGGCTCCGAAAGATGTGAAGATCAGGGTAGGAGCATGCTGGGGGCGGGGCCAGGGGCGGGGTGGAACTGAGCCTCCCAGGATCTGGAGGGCCATGTGGCGTGGCCTCCCCTCCTGCTCTGCCCCAAGTTTTTTGGGCACCGCCAGATGGCTCCCAGCTTCTACTCTGCCCCTGAAGCCCACCAGAGGGGAGGACCCCTCTTCACTCTCCGTCTTCACAAAAGGGGGCAGTTCTGATACCCAGATGTGGCAGGGTGCTAGGCTGAGGGCCCCACACGTGGTCTTTCAGGGAAACGGTGACACTGACAGGAGACTGACTCTGACTGCTCCCCTGTGACACAGTCTAACGTCTCAGTGACTGCTGAGGAGAGCTGGCCTGCCTAAGGGGGGATCCTGAATGGAGGAGTGTGGTTCTTGCCACCACACTGGGGCTTCCCACCAGCCCCCGCCGGAGCCAAATCTTGCCCCCAGATAGCCCCAGCTTCCCTGGGAGCCATAGATACTTAGGGATGCCGGGAACCTGTTTCTTCAGACGAGCAGGCTGGCCACAGTACCTCCCAGAGAGGCCACAGGGTCCAGCAGGGACATAACTTAAAGCCTGTTTTATGAAATATATCCACTGAAATGTATCCATGTATCCACCGGCTCTCACTGGCGGTGAGAAGTGGCCATAAAGGTGAGTAGTGGCAGGGAAAGTGAGAGGGGAGGATGGACGTCTCAGATTCCTCTTTCCACCCACCCCTGCAGATATCTGCACCGCAAGAGAGACTGTATTCCACATGGATTGGGTGAGTAGCTCTTCTGGGCATAAGAGCGGAACAGGAAGCAAAGGCATTGATTACCCCTCACCACCCCATCCCTTTAAAGAAAAGCCTGATCTGGTTTGGCCCCAGGGGGACTGGCTGGCTCCATGAGTACCCACTCCCCTTCTCTGACATTGTTCCTTTGGATTCCCTCCACTCCAGGGGCTCCATCCTCGCCTCCCTGGACACCTTTAAAAAGATGTGGGTCTCTAAGAAGGAATACGAGGAAGACGGTGCCCGATCCATCCACAGGAAAACCTTCTAATATTGGGACATCATCTTCACCTCTCTCTGAAGTTAACTCCACTTTAAAACTCGCTTTCTTGAGTCGGAGTGTTTGCGAGGAATTGCCTGTGTGTATGAGTGTGTGTGTGGGTGTGTGGGTACGAGTGTGTGCGCATATGCGAGTGCCGTGTGGCCCGGGGATCCCAGGGATCCCGGGGCCCAGAAAGGACGATGAACTACCCACGATGGTGACGGCCTGAGACCTGGGGTTGACCACTAACTGGCCCGACAGGGAAGAGTGCTGGCAGAGGGCCCTGCTCCGTCAGCGGGGTCTTTGGCTGGCTGTGTGGGACTATGTTTACTACCATAGGGAGACAGAGAGGGAGGTAAACCCAACCCCCAGGAGACCTTGCTGCTGCCCATCCTAGGCTGGGCCAGCCCCACCCCTACCCCACCCAGGGTGCCCTGCGGCCCAAGGCAGCTGCTGCCTCCCCTTGCTCATCATTCTGCTCTCAATGCCCCTTGATCACAGACTGAGGGCCAGGGTTGAGTTCTGTCTGGTTTTGTTGCAGTTTGGGTTTAGAAAGCTGGAAAAGCACTCCAGGAGCGGTTACTGAGACTTCGGTATCAGGAGGGGGCAGGATGCCCTCATCTTCACCTGGAGACCAGGACCACACTGGGCATTTGAGGAGGGCAGGAGTAGTGCTACTTCTGATGGGTGGCAGAGTTAACGCTCTAACCCCCAACCCCCATCCGGGGATCTCGGGAGAGTTTCAGGAGCCTGTTGGCCCCAGGCCCTTGCTTTCCATCCATCCATGGGCAAAGCCATCTTCAGTTTTATTTATTGAAGTGTTTGTTCAGTACAGGGACTGGAGCGAGGGAGCTCACTGCCTCCTGCCCGCCAGTCACCCTGTTCACACTAACGTTTACAGCACCTAAGCTTAGCATAGCATCCAGGGCCCCGCCACTCCCTGCTAACGGTGAACTGACAGTATCCATAGGCCTCAGGACCATTTGGGATCAGAGGCTACACTCAGAGTCACTCCAGCCTCTTTCTTTCTCCCTCTTCCACTTGCTCACCACCCTGGAATCAACAGGCTGGTTGCTGGTTGGACTTTCTGAAACAGGAGGTAGAATCACCCTTTGGCAGAGGCTGCTAGCAAAGGAGGGGTGTTGGGGATCCAGCCTCCTTAGGACTGGAGAAAGAGCTGCAATTAAGTTGCCTTTTCCCACGCTAGCTGACCCAGGGGGGACTAGGTTGTAGAGGCGAGACAGCCCCCTCTGGGCTGATTTGTGCCATTCTTGTCTTTGCACTTGTTTGGTTAGGGAGGGGCCAGACCAGAGTGCCAGGAGCTGATGGGCTCAGGCTCACCTCCTCTGGTCCAGTGGGGCCAGGTGCCTACCCTGGACTGGGCTGGCCTGGCAGTGGTCCCAAGGCTCTTCAGGCCAGATGGTGCAAAGCTGGGGCTAGCAGCTATTCACCGGCACCCTCACCTGTGACACCAAGACCTGCCCTGATCCCAGATTCCAGGCAGTATTCTCCCCCATGCCGTCCAACGACCAAAGGCCCTGCCAGGTGTGGGCCACAGCAGCAGGTGTGTGTGAAAGCGATGTGGCGACCCACAGACTGCAGTGTGCTTAACCAGCTCACCTCCCCCGCCCTTAGCCCAAGCCTGTCCCTCGCACAGCCTCACACAAACCACGTTGCCTGGTGGGGCCCAGTGTACTTAAATAAACTCGTTCCAATAGACACATCAGCTGGGCCTCTGTCTGTAGCCAGTGCAGGGTGGGAGGAGGGAGAAGCTGTGGGCCCGGAATCTGAGGCTGTGACTGGGCCTAGTCTGTCCTCTAGAGGGCACTGTTGCACCAGCCAGACTTGGCCTGACCTTAGCCCAAGCCCCAGCCTGTCAGGTGGACGCAGAGAAGATGGTGTTCACAACGAAGCCCAAAGACCAGGTCAGGAATGAAGGTCCCAGGCCTGTGCACACGCCCAAGCCCATGGATGAGACTCCACCCCAAATGAGGGGGCCAGCTCTTCACATCTCTGAAGTCAGAAGCTTATTAAAATATTGTTCCCGGGGCCCACGCTCAGATATGCTAATTAATCAGTTCTCCATTTTAAACCTGTATACTTGGGGGGTAGCGGGGAGCGGTTTTCCAGGCACTTTACAAATGTTAATCCATTTGATTCTCCCAACAACCGTACAAAGTGTAAGTATGTTTGTTATTCCTTATATAATTTCCCAAAGCTCTGCCCTTTGTTAGCTAGAATTTGAGCCCAGGCAATATAGCCCTAGGGCCTACATTCTTAACCGCTGTGCACACCCTCAAATAACCATTGGCCTAGAGCAGTGGTTCCCAATCAAAGTCAGTTTTGCCCCTTAGGACACACTTGGCAATGCCCGGAGATGTTTGGTCGTCACAACTGGAGGGAGATGCTACTGACATCTAGTAGGCAGAGGCCAGGGATGCTGCTAAACATCCACAACAAAGAACAGCCCAGCCCCAAATGTCTGTAGTGCCGAGGCCGAGAAACGCTGACCTCAAGCAGAGGTTCTCAGTCCCAGCTGCACGGTAAAATCACCACAGAGCTTTCCGAAACCCCAGTGCCAGGCGGTACCCAGACCCATGAAATCAGAATCTTGGGGAACAACTCAGACACCAGCATCTTTGCAAGCTCCCCAGCGACTCCAAGGTTAAGGACCTCTAGCCTAGAAGTGGCCACTCCTCCTTGCCCACCACGTCCAGCAGTGGTACATGGGAAACGCACTGGGGCTACGAATGCAGGCCTTAAAGCTGTTTTGCTCCCAAGGGCCCATGCGGCCACGGGCCTGCAGGCTCTCCCTGCTACCCCAGTGACTCTGATGTGGGTGGCCCCCCACTCATCTCTGAAAATGCTCTCAGGCTGCTCTTATTAAGTAAGGAATCCTGTTCCCCAACCCACCACTCCCACACACAGCACAGACCTCAGGAGTGGGAATAGAAATGACCGACTTCGATCAGTCTGTGATGAAATGAACATCGCTGAGAGGCCAGCTGGGGACGCGGGCGCCCTGCAGCAGCTAGGGCGCGCTACTCCACGCACAGCTGAGGCAGAGAGTTCTGAGAGAAGCCACCGCAAGGGGCAGGTGGGACTCAGTTTCCTCTGACTAGGCCAAAGTGGTTTCCGAGCCCACATAGGGCGCCAGCCCCAGCCAGGAAGGGGGATAGGCCTCTGTGCCCACAGCAACCCCACGTGACCACAGGGCGGGCCCCCTCCCTTCGTGATCCTCTTCTTCCTCCTGCCACATAGGAGGAAGCCGGTCCCTGAGCACAAACGCCCCAACCCTTGCCCAAGCTGAGCCCGACAGCCAAGCAGGAACTTAGACCTCAGTGACGCTCCCTGCGCAGCCCCAGGAGCTCCCACTCCGCCATCTGTCCTCCAGGCTGCACCCCAGGAAGGCGAAAGAGACTGGCCGCCCAGGGCTGCAGGTAGTCCTCAGCAGGGTGGCCTTGCTGCTCCCCTCACACCATCTTAATGTCCAGGGTTTGGGCCCGTGACAGGTTCTGACGCTGGGCTTTGACCGCATGCAGGCGTCTCCCATACAGCGTGAACTGGGACCAGGTGAACAGCTGCAGCAGAGCACAGGTGATGGGCACCAGCACCAGCAGGTAGAAGCAGCCCTGGCGGAGCGTCGGGGCCTGTGGTGGGGGTGGAGCCGGGGGCTCTGGCCAGGGCTGGGCACTCCCCACAGGCGTCAGTGCGGGCTGCTGGAAGAGATCATGACCTAGGATGAGAGAGTCCGCAGAAAGAACAGGTCAGCCCTGGTCTCCTCCACAGTCCACGGTGCCGCATCTCACACGCCACGGGCACGTGTCCAAATGGCAGCTCTTGATTCCTCCCCCAGACTTGCTTCTCCCCTGTTCTTCTCTTCTTGGGGAATGGTACCGCCATCCCCCCAATAACCTCGAAGTCTTCCTAGATTCCTCAGTTAATTTCACCACTCCCCAACAGCCAATCCTTCACTTCCCCCAACTCCAAAACACAGCCCAAAACAAACACTTCTTTTCAGCCCCCAGCCCCACCTGCTCCAAGCCTCCATCGCCTGTGCCACAGCCTCCCTACAGCCCATCCTCCGTGCAGCAGTCAGAGCGAACTTTAAAGCGTGTAAATCAGACGAGGCCACTCCCCTACTTAAAAGCCACCCAATAGCTGCACTGAGAATAAAATTCACACCCTGCCCAGATCTACAGAGCCCTCTTCACTTTTCCAGCCTCATCTCCAAACCACTCTTTTTTATAAATTTATTTCTTTATTTATTTTTGGCTGCGTTGGGTCTTCGTTGTTGTGTGCGGGCTTTCTCTAGTTGCGGCGAGCCAGGGCTACTCTTCGTTGCGGTGCGCGGGCTTCTCACTGCGGTGGCTTCTCTTTTTGCAGAGCACGGGCTCTAGGCGCGCCGGCTTTAGTAGTTGTGGCACGTGGGCTCAGTAGTTGTGACTCGCGGCTCTAGAGCGCAGGCTCAGTAGTTGTGGCACGTAGGCTCAGTAGTTGTGGCTCACGGCTCTAGAGCACAGGCTCAGTAGTTGTGGCACATGGGCTTAGTTGCTCCGTGGCATGTGGGATCTTCCCGGACCAGGGCTCGAACCCGGGTCCCCTGCATTGGCAGATGGATTCTTAACCACTGCACCACCAGGGAAGTGTGCCAAACCACTCTTGATAACTTGGGCCCACTTCCAGTTCTCTCTGTCTGGGATTTGCTGAGATCTATGTAGACCAAATCCTCGCCACTCAGTTCACATCCTGGGTGTCACCTCCTCAGAGAGAGCTTCCCGGACCACACTAAGCAGCTTCTCAGTCGCAATGGCTAGTTTTTACCAACGCACTTATCACTACCTGTTTGGCTGTTTATTGCCGACCCTACCCCCACACCCTGACTAGAATATAAGCTCCACGATGGCAAAGACCTTGTCTGTCTTATTTTGTTATCTCCCTCCCTAGAGGCACCTAGAGCAGCACCTGGCAGAGAAGGTATTCCATACATATTTGTTGAATGAATGAATGAAAGAGTGTAACCCAGTTCCTCTACCCACATGCAGAGAGGCAGAGGAGGGGTGGCAGCCGGGGGCGGCCCAGACCCAGCCTCTGTTGGCTGGTTGCCATTCTCTCCCTCAATGGACCCAGATCCCAGGCTGATCAGCTGGTACACCCGGTAAGCTGTGCTCCCTGGAGCCTCCAGAGCCCCGTGCCAGCCCCTGGGCTCTCACCTGTGTAGAAGCACAGCAGCCAGGTGCCCAAAAGCGGGGCGAAGGTCTGGCCTGGCTTGGTCACCAAGGCCACCATGCCAAAGAGAAGCGCTGAGGCCGCCTGCTTGCGGTGGTTCAGCACCAGGTCCTCGTCCACCAGGTCAGTGACCACCAAGGTCAACAGCTTACAGGTGCCCTCAGTGAAGACACGGTTGCTGCCGGCGGAGAGAGAGCAGACAAAAATGAAGGAGTGGGACAGAGGTGTGGGGATGAAGGAGGGCAGGGCATACCTGGCAATGAAGAGGCAGAGCAGGCCAGGGCGGTCGGGGCCAGCGCACAGCATGAGCAGGCTCAGGCCCAGCTTGAGCAGGAAGAGCCCGCGCACCACAGCGTAGACGCCCCAGCGCCGGCACAGGGGCAGGAAGTAGAGATTGTTGAGATGCGGAGCGACATAGGAGATGCCTGGGGAAGGAGGTGCGACCTCGTCAGGGGGCACTGCCACAACCTCCACAACTGCCCACAGTTGGCCATCGGAATCAGAGTTTGCACTGATCCAACACTAACGAGGTTCAGGCTCCGTGCTAAGAGCTTCACACCCTTTTATTTAGTCCTCACGACCCTTTAAGGTAAGTACTATTATCATTCCTACTTTACAGAGAAGTGGAGGCCCAAAGAGATGAAATAAAACACACCCAAGGCCACACAGTGAATAAGCACGGTCAAGACACACACCCAGGCCTGTCAGGACAGTAGTCCTCCCTGTGAACCAGCCACTGTACCACTTCACCTCTGGGTGTCACCGCCACCCAGAGGACCACCATGAGGGCAGCCCTACCCACTCAAACCCACAGAGGCTCCCTCCCTCCCTCTGGAAAACAGAGCCGGGGGCTGGAGGTGCAACTCCAGCACGGATTCTGCCCTCTGCCACCTGGGCCCCAGCTGGGGAAGCGGCTGTGCCTACAGCCGGGCTAGGGGTTCTGGGGTGCAAGCCTTTGTCCTTCCGGCCTGCCCGAGGCACCCACTCACCCAACAGGAAGGAGCCAGTGGAGAGGGAGATGTGGTCTGACAACAGATGCTCCAGGAAGAGGGGGAAGAAGTTGCTGTTGAAGTGGCAGTGAAAGACCTGCAACCAACAGGGACAGTGAGGAGGCCAGGAAGAGGGCAGAAGCCAGCAGGTGGGGCAGCAGGAGCAAGAGCGGCCTCCACCCCCGTGTCCCTCGGCGTGGAACATGCCAGAACAAAACCTGAAACCAGGGCTTCCCTGGTGGCGCAGTGGTTGGGAGTCCGCCTGCCGATGCAGGGGGCACGGGTTCGTGCCCCGGTCCGGGAAGATCCCACATGCCGTGGAGCGGCTGGGGCCGTGAGCCATGGCCGCTGAGCCTGCGCATCTGGAGCCTGTGCTCCACAACGGGAGAGGCCACAGCAGTGAGAGACCCGCATACCGCAAAAAACAACAACAACAAAACCTGAAACCAACTTCCTATGCTCATCAAGTTTGCTAAAAGTTAGAAGGAATGAAAAAGTTGTCATTAGAACAATTAAAAGCTTTTTCTCTTATAAAACCTATCAATGCTAAAACAAGCTAAATGACACAAAAACAATCTATTTCTAAATTTGGTTGGCTTATATACTACATATGTTTTAGGTATGGCATGTGGTGTTTTAAAAGTCTCCAAAGGGGCACCTCTTTTTCATATCCTCACTTTGCAGGTGAGGACATGGCTGCCCCGAGAGACTGAGACAAGCCTAAGATGACGCAGAGAGCTAGGAGCTCAGATGCTGCTAGAATCCAGGTATCTAACAACCCAACTTGTGCTCCTGCCATTGAATGGCCCAGCCATTCTCAGGCGAGGCCAGAACTGATTTCCCAGCTTCTGAGGAGCCTGTTCCCTTGAGTGAGGCATTCGTAGCCATCCTGGGTGGAGGCACTGCTCCCGTACCTGCACCAGGTCCATGCCCACGAACCACAGGAAGTTCCGGTGGCGGGCCAGCTGCCGAAGGTACTGGCCCAAGGTGATGCTGCCCGTCTCCTCGCCGCCAAGAAGCAGCTCTTCTTCTTCACACAGGCTACGGGGCAGAGGGGATTCAAGAACGGCCTAGGCTGGGCCAGAGCCATCCCCCACCCGGCAGCCATCCACCAGCCAGGGGCCCCAGCATGGCAGTCACACCCAGCAGAGTGCTGGCGGGACCCTGGAGAGCCGGAGCTGGCCACTCACCCGCCATCCACAGCCAGGGTTGGGCACCCCGGTTCCCTGCTGGCCGCCTCCACCCGCCACCTCAGCAGCCGTGTGGCCCCCACAAAGCCCAGCCCAGAGCCAGCGGCCAGTGCCAGGCAGAAGGCACGGAAGGAAGAGAAGTCTTCTTTGTTCCAGAAGGCGTAGGAGGCAAAGACAGATAGGGAGCCAGCCGCACTGAAGAGGGAGCAGTAGAAGTTGAGGTGGGTGCGGTCGTGGGCTGAGAGGGCCAGGTCGGCCAGCAAGGCATGATGGTGCAGGTCCACGAGCGTCAGGAAGCCATCATAGAGGCACAGGCACAGCAAGAACTGCAGGCCAGCTGGGGCCCAGGGCACCCAGAACGCCAGGAACGACAGCGCCAGCAGCGGCCCATGCCAGCCCAGCGCCCGCACCCGTGCCAGCACCACGGCCCTTGAGGAGAGCCTGGCGCCTGACCTGCCAGGGAGAGGGGTGCTGTTGGGAGATGCCCCTACAGCCTTGGCAGGCCCCAGTTCCCCCTGCCCGGGGCCCAGAGGAGAGAACAACAGAGGCCCAGAGCATGGGACTCACACCAGGGTGGTCCCACTGAGCCCTGAGTTCAACCCCTGATTTAGGGAGCACAACTCACCAGTGGGTACACTCTCCCCTCTGCTCTCTTACCAGCCTGCCAGGGCTGACGGCCAAAGGGTGGTGGGATACCCATTCCTCAAGCTTGGGGGCAGTGATGGGCCCGAGCAGGGATGGGCTAAAGAAATGTGCCAGAAGCAGCAGAGTGTTTGCTGCACGGAGCCCCGTCCTGAGGGCCTGATAAGCCAAGCGGGGGTACATTTCTCCCCGAGCTGAGCAAGGCAGCAGCCAGCCAAGGCCACTTCTTCAAACTGGACAGAGTCTGCCTGACCTTGGGAAAGGAGGAAGCCTGCACAACAGCTGGAAATGGTCTCCCTTTCTTCCCCACCCCAAACACAGGCAGGGGTCCTCCAGCTCTGGGAGGGGGTAGGTGGGACAGAACCAGCTCTGAGCCATCCTCAGGAAACAAACCGGGGCTGGGAGCTGAGGAACTGACGGTCACTCAGCCAGCCGAACAGGGGGTCATTGAGGCTGTTCCAGAGGAGAAACACCGTCTGTGGGCAGAGGGGAAACGGGCAGGTGGGCTCCAGGCAGCCTCCTCTCCAGGGCTTTCTCCATCCCAGCCTGCTCGCCACCTCTCAGAGATGACCCCTGCTTTCCTTCCTGCAAACCTTTGCTCAGGTCAGTCCCTCTGTTATAACCCATAGCGACTGTCCCATCAAACTCCCACCCATCCAGGGCCCAGCTGATAAATATATGTGAATATATTATAAATGTGCATACATAGAACAGTGCCTGGCTCACGAGACAGAGGCCAGGAGAGCTGGCGTAATCCTCACTGAGGAGTCATCAAGGCCTCCAGCTCCAGCTTTTCTTGCTGAATCTCGGTGGGCAACCCGGCTTGCCCCAAGCTCCTGGCTGGGCAGGATCCAGCCCTGCCATCTGCCGGGCTCCCACCCTGGCTAGCTGCCCCAGCTCTGGCCTACCTCTCCAACCCAGAAGGCAGCTTTGTTGATCTTGTACACTGAGACAAAGGTGTCCACGTAGTAAAGCAGGAACACGTTGTGCAGGACAGAGATGAAGAGGGCCAGGGAGCCATAGACCATGGCCGTGGGCAGGCCCAGCAGCCAGGCCCAGGGCCCACCCAGCCCCATGGCGGCCAGCCCAGCCTCAGCCCCAGGAGTACTGAGGAGCGCTCATGGCCACGGGCAGTCTGACCATCCTTGTCCCTGGGGAAGAAGAAGCCAGTTAGCTGCAGGGATCAGAGCCAGCTGATCTAACCCCAGACCTCTGAGTCATCTCACTGGGAGAAAGTCTGTACATAAAACAAAACTGGGGAATCGTCAATGATGTCCAGCTAAAACAATGCTGGACTAGATACCACTACTGGAGAGTAACCCAAGGAAACGGATAAAGGCGTGGGAAGAGAAGGCAGCCAGCCAGCAAGTGCTGAGCCAGGTCGCGTGCTAGCGCCCTGTGCTCAGTATCTTCTTTCATCCATACTTTACTCAACCTTAACGGTCCAGACATGACAACCCTGGGCTTGGGCACATACTGTGCCTACAGTGGCACCTCGGGCAAGCTACTTAACCCCAGCCTCAGTTTTCTCTTCTGTAAAAAGGAAAAGTGGATGATCATGGCTACTCAGAGGAATATAAGGATTAAATGAGGTAACTCATGGAGTGCTCAATAAATGGACGTTAGCGATCTCATTATCATCTTTATAAAATCCCTACAAAGTTTACAGCACTATTACAATATTATAGGAGAGCAACCCCAAGCTCAGAGATGTTAAGTAATTTGCCCAGTGTTGCACAGCAAAAAAGTAGATTTGAACCCTGACCTGTCTGGCTCCAAAGGCTTTTCTGCCACTTGACCTCCCAAGTTGGGTTCCTATGGACTGCTGGGTAGAATGGAGAAACCTGCTGTGATGGCAGGTTTCATAGGGATATACAAGTGATAAGATATGATAAGAGTCCACAACTGCTCACGCACTTTGATTCCGGAAATTCCACCTCAAGGAACTAACCCCAAGGGAACATGTACAGAGCTGTTCATGGCAGCAACATTTATAAACAGCCAAAAGCTGGACACAGCCCAGGAACACAACAAAGGGACAGGCTCAACAAGCCCGATGCTCTCCAGAAAGGCCAAGTACATGGGCAACCTCAACACAGTGGAGAGAAACTCAAGAACATGTTACATGAAAAGAGAGAACAGGGCTTCCCTGGTGGCGCAGTGGTTGAGAGTCCGCCTGCTGATGCAGGGGATACGGGTTCGTGCCCCGGTCCAGGAAGATTCCACATGCTGCGGACCGGCTGGGCCCATAAGCCATGGCCGCTGGGCCTGCGCGTCCGGAGCCTGTGCTCCGCAACAGGAAGAAGCCACAACAGTGAGAGGCCCGCGTACCGCAAAAAAAAAAAAAAAAAAGAGAGAGAGAACAAAGGACAGCACGAGTGCCTGCTCCCAACCAGGCCGACTCATGCACAGAGACCAGCAGGCTAGACTGACCATGGATGGAAAAGCAAATAAAAGTCAGATTTTTAATAAAGCAGCGCTTCTCATACTGTAATGTGCTTCCAAGTCACGGGGGGACTTTGTTAAAATGCAGATTTTGCCTCCATAGGTGTGGGGAGGAATCTGAGATTCTGCATTTCTAACAGGCTCCCAGGGGGCACCAATGCTGCTGGTCCATGACCACACTTTAAGCAGCCAGGCATTAAGTCTATCTGTCTCTTTAGATTCAAAGCTGTTGTTCTCTTTTCAGAAAAATAATCTCATGTGTGCTTGTCTGACCCCCAGAGGGAAGCTATGGGGGCTTCCTTCTCTCAAACTCCCTGTTCTGAGTTGAATGTGCCCCAAAGAGATAAGTTCAAGTCCTAACCCCCAGTATCTGTGAGTGCAACCTTATTTGGAAATAGGATCTTTGCAGATGTAACCAAGTTAAGATGAGGTCATACTGAGTTAGGGTGGGCCCTAATCCAATGACTGGTATCCTTAAAAGGAGAGGGAAATTTGGACACAGAGACAGACACACACAAAGGGAAGACAGCCACGTGAAGATGCAGGCAGAAGTTTGAGTGATGCATCTACAAGCCAAAGAACACTAAGGATTGCGGGCAACCACCAGAAGCTAGGAAGAGGCAAGGAAGGATTCTTTCCTAGAGCCTCCCTCCAGAGGGCACATGACCCTGCTGATGCCTTGATGTTGGATTTCTACCCTACAGGAACTGTGAGGTTGCCTTAAGCCACTCAGTTTGTGGCAGCCCTAAAACTTATACACCTCCTCAGAAGTTTTCTCTTTGAGTCCTCGTGACCCAAGCCTACCCATGGGCTTCATTTACATGTCCATATGCTTGCACGCACACATGCAGAACAGAAACTTCTGTTTCCCCATCAGAGTCAGGCCCTGGAGAACCGACTCCAGCCCCAGTCCAAATGTGGTGACCCCCCAGGCCCTGTTCTTGCCCCATGAGCAACCATGGCTCCCCTTCCCTGCCCAGCCTTCAAGGGCCTCTGTAGTCTGGCCTCTCCCCGCCAGACCAGCCCAGACTCCCATGGATCTTCAAGCCACTGTCTCCTCTGGCCAGGCCTTTGTTCTTTTTTTTTTTTTAAATAAATTTATTTATTTATTTATCCATTTTTGGCTGCATTTGGTCTTCGTTGCTGCGCACAGGTTTTCTCCGGTTGCGGTGAGCGGGGTCTACTCTTCATTGTGGTGTGTGGTCTTCTCATTGTGGTGGCTTCTCTTGTTGCAGAGCACAGGCTCTAGGCGCGAGGGCTTCAGTAATTGTGGTGTGAGGGCTCAGTAGTTGTGGCTCGTGGGCTCTAGAGCGCAGGCTCAGTAGTTGTGGCACACAGGCTTAGTTGCTCCGCGGCATGTGGGATCTTCCCGGACCAGGGCTCGAACCCATCTCCCTTGCATTGGCAGGCGGATTCTTAACCACTGCGCCACCAGGGAAGCCCCCAGGCCTTTGTTCTTGATGGTGCCTCCTACCAGAAGCACCCTGCCCATGTCTTCATCTCCATCTCACTCATCCCTCAGGAGCCAGCACCATGTCGAGAAGACCTTCTCCAACTCCTTGGCCCTCACTGGTGCCTCCTGCCCCTGCACAGCACTCTCCCACCTGCCCACACTCCAGCCTGACTGTGGGGTTCTCCAGCGCAGGGCCTGTGTCTTCCCCCTCTCTCTCCCTCTCTGGACTCAGCCACTCTTGCTATAGGAGTGACTGGTAAGAAAGAGGCTCTGCGGGGAGAATAAGGGCGGTATCTCATGGGGGTCTCTCTCAGGCTCAATGGAAGATGAGTGGCAATTCACTCAAGAGATTGGTATGCAGCCCCCCATCCCCTGTGCCAACCTTGTGCCAGCCCACCCCTAGTGGTGGAGCAATGAGAGAAGGAGGAGTGGCCAAAACTACCTGAAAGCAGCCGCTAAGTCTGTGAGAATCTCTCCCAGGCCATAATGATGCCACCTTGTCCCAGAGCCGGAGGATATCCAGGTGGCCTCTCCCTGGGGGCTTTGAGCCCCTGAAGAAACATTTGGTGGGAAATACTTTTTCTTTTCACAGCTTTATTGAGGTACAACTGACATCTAATAATCTGCATATCAGGAAGTCCCCTAGTGGCCTAGTGGTTAGGATTCTGGATTCTCACTGCCATGGCCTGGGTTCAATCCCTGGTTGGGGAACTGAGATCCTGCAAGCTGCACAGCATGGCCAAAAGAAAAAAAGAAAAAAAAAAGACCTCCCGCCCCCAAATAATAATAATCTGCGCATTTTCAAAGTGTACAGTCTGATCAGTTTTGGCATAGGTATGCCTGTGAAACTGTCGCCACAATTGAGATCAGGAACATATCCATCACCCTTTAAGTTTCCTTGGCACTTTCCAAGTAACATAGTGGAAAGAAGACACAACTGGAGGTCTCCAAAGTCCCAACTCCACCATTTCCTACCCGTGTGACCTGAAGCAATTTGCTAAACCTCTCTATGCCTGTTTCCTGATCTGCACAATGGGGCCAACCTTCCTAAGGCTACGGTTAGCAGTCCATGAGAAAATACTCTAACGCAAGGAGCACAGGAAGTGCAGCGAGCATCCAAACTTCAGAGATTACTACTGTCGAGCCTCCCAGACCCTCCATACCTACCACACAAGGATGGGGTGGGCTAATCTAAAGGTGCTTTGGGGCTGTAAAGCACCATGTACACCTCTGCTGCTATCCTTAAGCCAGGTCACCTCCTCTGATTCCCCAGGGCCTTTCAGAACTCCCCTCCCTCACCTTGAAAGCCTTTGTCCAAAGGGAGTGAAATCTCCCGGCACCCCTACCCAGATGTCCAGTGGCCTGCCCTGGTTACTGGAGAAGATGGACCCTACAGGCAAGGTCCCCAGCCTCCAGCAGCTGGTTCCCTGCGCCCACGCTGGGGCAACAGTAGAAAACCTCAAAGTGCGGTGAGATGGAAAAAGTATGACTTTTGCCATCAGAACGGCCTGGGTTTACATCTCAACTGAACTTTCTACTAACTGTAACTGCAGGCAAGGTCTGAGCTTGTCTGAACCTTGGTTTCCTCACCTGTAAAATGGGAGTAACAGTGCCTATCTTTATAGGAATGCAGGGAGGATTAAACTATGTCTAGGAAGCCCAGAGCACCGATAGAAATGTGCTCAGAAACTGGCATTTCCTTGGGCTCACTTATAACAGATCAGGGTAGGAGCAGGGGAATATGCTGGTAATCAGGCCCCTTCCTGTGGTAGGGGAGTTTGAGAGAAAAATCAAGGCACAAGGGGGAAAGTCAGAAGAGGACAGCCTGCAAGGAGCATGGGCCCAGATGATGTTCATGAGTACCAGAGACAGACCACTACCATGGACCAGATCTAGAGGCAAAGCAACCTGTCCAGGTAAGCCTCTGCCCCGGGAAAAAAAGCTGGGGGAGGAGTATGCAGGGTCACTCCAGATTCCACTCCTCTGTCAGGAACTGCCTCCTCTAATAGCCCTCCCCACCCCCACTCCACCCCCACAGAGAACAACAGCCCTGCCTCTCGGGGGAGGAAGGCTTGTGGCCCACACCAGCCTAGTTGCATAACCTGGCTGAGATAACCTGTAACCTGCAACCAACTCCACCCCCACCTTGGCACCTAGCAGGAGAGCCTGCTGGTGGCCCCAGAGCCCATCTCCCATGCCCCCCGCTGGTATGGTCCCAGTTGTGTGGCCTTGAGCCAGCCACTCCCTCTCCCTGGGCCTCAGTTTCCTCATCTATAAAGTGGGGATGACAACGCCAACCTCTTAGATTGCTGTAGGGCTGAAATGCAAAAGATATATAAAGCACCAAGCCTAGTGCCAGGCACTGAGAAGACCCTCAATTAAATGTAGCTATTCATGGGCTTCCCTGGTGGCACAGTGGTTAAGAATCCCCCTGCCAATGCAGGAGACACGGGTTCGAGCCCTGGTCCGGGAAGATCCCACACGCCGCAGAGCAACTAAGCCTGTGCGCCACAACTGAGCCTGCGCTCTAGAGCCCGTGCACCACAAGAAGAGAAGCCACCGCAATAAGAAGTCCACGCACCACAACGAAGAGTAGCCCTGGCTCACCGCAACTAGAGAAAGCCCACGCGCAGCAACGAAGACCCAACACAGCTAAAAATAAATAAATAAAAAAATTTTTTTAATGTAGCTATTCTTCTTCTTTTTCATGTCTCTGAAGTTTGGCTTTATGATCTTTAAAGAGTTGCAGTCAGTGTCCCCTCTGCCAAATACATGACTGAAGTTGTCTTTTCAGCACTCAACACTGATGCTTCTCACTGCTTGGTATATCCTGCCATCCATCAAATTCTTTTTTAAATGCCACCTCCAACCTTTGTTCATGTTGTTCCTTCCACCTAAAACACCCTAGATGTAACTACATACCATTTCTCAGATATATAGGATATGCCTAGTTTTTACACCTATCATCATGAATCCTTACAACTCTTGTTACTATTTCCATCCTCATCTTGTAAGTGAAGAAACCAAGGCTCTGAAGGTTAAATAGCTGGCCCCAAATCACACAGCTATTAAGTGCTAGAGCCAAAATTCAAAACAGGTGCTTCTGACTAAAAAAAAAATCCCCAAAACTCAGCATTTCTCACATCACTAGGCCCATACCGCCACCACAATTGTATCAAATCCTGCTGATTCAAGAAAGGCCCAGTTCAGGGGCACATACCTTCCCAAGGGCACCAAGTCAGGTGTTCTCTCCCCTTTTCAGGTCCCTTGGCTCTGTATCAGGATCCAAATGTCTCCCTAACCCTTCTCCAGCACCCAAGCTCCTTAAAGGCAGGGCCAGGTCAGACCTGCCCCTGATCTGGACTCCCAGCTTCCACCAGGCTCCTTCACCACACAGTAAGTGCTCAATTAATACCTTCTGGGTCAATTTGCCCCTAAAAGGCCAATATGGACATCCGCAGCCCAACGAGAGAGCAGCAGCCATAGGAGGAGTGTCCTCCCCAGATCCCACTGTGCCCCTCAGCTCTGCATTCTGCTTGGCTGTGGGAGTCAAAAAGAGGCAACCTGGGGAACCCTGATGTGAAACATGGACAGCAAGGCAACAGGTGAGGCAACAAAGAGGAACAGTGATAATAACAAAATGTAACACTTATTAAGCTTTCACCCGTGTGCTAAGGAAAATTGATACACACCAGATCAGGAAGGGCTTTGGAAACCATACACAAGATCCTATCCTGAGGACAATAGGATGGGGGGCACTGGGAGTGGCCAGGTGACAGAATCAGATGTTTAGAAGGAGCCCCCAGCATCATGTAAAAACTCTCCCCTCCTCACCCCATCAGGCTTCTGGGAGATAAAGAACCAGAAAATGATAGAAACAGTAGCAGCTCCCTGATTTCTGAACCAGCCTGTGGTGAGTAGGGGGCTGATGAATTTGGTAGAGGAAACCAAGAATGACAGACTGGGCCCCTGGGGTGAGGGGCTTCAGAAAGAGGGCAGGTGTTAGCTTCTGATTCCTTTCAGAAGGACTAGAGACCGTATGAGAAGCTATTAGTATGGAGGGAAAAAATCTACTAATAAGCATAATTTGGAGTTGGGAGCCCTGGGTCAAGTTTGAACCTTATCACTAACTAGCTTTCTGAGTTTATTCCTACATCTGCAAGGAGGGAGAAAATTCCATTCTCTGCCTGTCCCGGCAGTATCAAATGAATATGAAAGGTATTATACCCTGCGCAAATATTAGGTGTGTCCTTTTTTCAACAAGCCGGTGACCTCTGAATTGTCTTCTGTGTTTCTCGTTTCACACCCCCTTTGTCTCCCTGCTCAGTCTCCCCACCGCAGCACCAGCCCTGGCAGGGCTGTTGGGGACGCCCAACCCTGGAGGGGTGCCCACTTTCCATGCAGTGACTAATGGGCCCATCCTCCTCCTCAGGCTGGAAACGAACTTCACCCTACTGGGGGGAGGGACCTTCTCCCTTTCCCTCCCTGCTCCGCAGGTTACTACAGCAGCACTGGAGGATCAGCAACTTCACCTCAGGACCATGCACCCCTCGCGAGCCACAGAGGAGTCTGGGAACAACCCAGGAGTTCCTTACTCAATAGCTGGCACTGAACCATGTGGTGGTTCTCCAGCCTGTCTGCACATTAAAATCACCTGAGGAGCTGCTCAATAACACCAAAGCCCAAGCCTCACCCCTGACCAATTAAATCGTAATTTCTAAGGATGGGGCCCAGCATCAGTGTTCTTTTAAAGCTCCCCAATTGGTTCTACAACGCCACCAGGGTTAAAGGCCATTATGTTAATGAAATGGATCCCGGCCTGATGCATCATGCGACCCCAGGGAGTCCCTCTGCAAGAATTCCATCCTCACCCCTTGAGCCCAAGCTTCTCCCACCCTGCCCCGAGGCACTCTCTCAACCCACACCCAGATCACTTCAGGGACTCCCACAGACAGCCCCCAGGACTCCCAGAGCAGACAGCATTCCTGTACCCTTTGGGTGTGTCCTTTGTGACCGATTGGCCCCTAGTCCGGCCCGCTCCTACCCCCAAGCCCCGGCCGCGGGCCGGCCCCTCACCGAAATTGTGGCAGGAGAAGCCTAATCCCGCGGCTGCCCGGAGCCAGGTGCCAGCCAGTGCGCCTGCGCACAGGCCTCCAGCAGCTTCTCCAGCCCCTTCTTCCGCTCCTGCCCAGCGATTGGCTCCGCGTGGCTCCGGGACCGCTGCTTCGGCAGGTGCTCGCGCCCGAGGCTGCCGCCGCCATATTTGTTACGGGCGCTTGCCCTTAGGGACCAAAAAGAGGACGTGGGCGCCAGCAAAAGACGGGCAGATTGTATTCCTGGCCGGTTCACCGCCTCCCTCTCACTTCCACGAAGGCTTAATGTCATTTCAGTTCAAATCAACAAGGTTTTTTCTGAGAGCTTCCCATCCTCTCCCCCGTCCTTTTTTTTTTGCCTGTCGTGCGGCTGGTGGGATCTTAATTAACCCACCAGGGATCGAATCTGCACCCACTGCAGTGGAAGCCAGGAGTCTTAACCACTAGACCTCCGGGGAAGTCCCCCATCCCTACTATTAATTCGGAAAATGAAGAGAGCTCAGCACCTTCCTTCAAGCCTTGTGATGTGACTGGATGCACAGCTGAGACAGATAAGAAGATGACAGTGGCACGACCTGGGACTCCCTGATGCTGGATTGTGAGTTCCTCAAGAGTGGACAGGCCCAGCCTGAGCTGTGGGCACCAGGGTTCAGGCCACAGGCACCAGGCCCTGAGAGAGCAACCAAGCAGCCCAACCTCTTCTTCTTCTTACTATTTTTTTCGTTTCTTTTTTTTTTTCGGTTGCACCAGGTGTTAGTTGCGGCACGTGGGCTCCTTAGTTGTGGCATGCGAGCTCTTAGTTGCGGCATGCATATGGGATCTAGTTCCCTGACCAGGGATCAAACCCGGGCCCCCTGCCTTTGGGAGCTCAGAGTCTTATCCACTGCACCACCAGGGAAGTCCCAACCTCCTCATATTAATAGTAATAGTAAAATATAAGGCTACGGAGCTCTTACAATGTGCCCAGTGCTGTGTTAAGCACTCTACATGCATTATCTTGTTGAGTCCTCACATAGTCATCCCTGGGAGGTAGGTGCTATTATCCCCATTTTACAGATGAGGAAACTGAGGTTGGGAGAGATTCAGTGACTTTCACACAGCAAGCAAGAGGCCCAGACAAGTTGGAACCCAGACTTTCTGACTCTCAGAACAGGAGTCTTCCCTCTTCCTACCCCTGCCCAGACCCTGAAAGTCAAGTTTTGTTTTGCTCAGTCTAGTCTGGTAAGGATGTCCCACGTCTTCTCCCAACAGGCCTGTAAGCCTACTTAGATTTCTAGGCAATTAGACAGCACAGACTCCAGACTTGCTGTTTCCCTACCCTGGGATATGGGGCCATGAGTGTGGCTTTTGGCTTCTGGGGGAACTGGGACTCAGTTCCCTAGCTCCACCACTTCTTTTTCGGGGATGCTCTTTTTGTGAGCCTCTGTTTTACTCCTTAGAGGGATTTTGTGGGCATTAAATGAGAAATAGGGGTGTAAGAGTTCTGTTGTCAACAGGAGTATCATCCTCTGCCTCCTTCCTGACAACCTGGCAAGGGCCCACCCAGAGCAAACAGTCCAACGCAAGAGCCCGGGTGTCCAGGTGCTAGAGTCTGTTCAACAAGTTCCTCGGGAGCCCCAGAGGCCCCATGAACCTTGTCCCCAGCGTTCGTTTCCCACCAGTCTGTCTCACTTTCCTCCTCCCCAGTCCTGCCTTTTCAGACCCTCTTCTTACCTCCTAGGTCTCCTCTTGGCCACACACACATCATCTCTTTTCTAGACTTCAAGCAATTGATGAAACCCCTCATGCTCCAGAAAGCCCTCGTGACTAGAAGGAAGATTACCATTTCTCTCCCATCCTTACCCCTTACCCCCATCTATGCTTTACTGGCTGTGAGAATAGAGGGCAGGAAGGGCAGGAAACCAGCATTCAGCATAGAGTCTGGTACACTAGGGTCTCCATAAATTGACTAAAGGAGTCCCTCTGCCGTTCCATCTCTGGCCAGCATGTGCCTTTATTTCAAAGCAACACTGAGCCTTTACTTAGCCCTCCCTGGGTATCCCGTGGGGGAACGGGAGAATGCGGAGAGCTGCCAAGGGGCTGGAACTGATGTGACCTTATAGGAAAGACTTTGGCTCCTGTGTTGCACTGAATACCCCACTCTGAGTTCCCTCAGCCCTCTGATTTTATAGACAATGTAACCAGTTACCCTTTTTTGTCAGCACCAGGGCTGGGCCTTGTGATTATCTCTGATTTCCCTTCCCAGTTGTCAAGCACAGAGATAACTGGGAGGGGACATGGGGTGCAATTGAAGATCATATCGCCTGCCTTGAGTCATACCGGAGTCTCTGGATCGTGGGAGAGAGACATACAAAAACTCTCCCTGAAGTTCTCTCCTCCCTTGGCTTCTGACCTCTGTGATCTAGGTTCCGCCATGTTCTCCTCCTACCTAACAACTCCTCCTCGGGTCCCTTCACCGGGGCACTTTTTCCCAGGGCTTTCTTAGTTGCAGAGAGGGTCCCCCAAATTTCCATTTTCAAAACTCTTCACACATTCACTTAAACTTGTCAGGCCATACACTATATGGGGTAAAAGGGACTTCAAAAACAAGATTGCCTGTTGGTGGGAATATAAATTGGTGCAGCCACTATGGAAAGCAGTATGGAGGTTTCTCAAAAAAACTAAAAATAGGGCTTCCCTGGTGGTGCAGTGGTTGAGAGTCCGCCTGCCGATGCAGGGGACACGGGTTCGTGCCCCGGTCCGGGAAGATCCCACATGCCGCAGAGCTGCTGGACCCGTGAGCCATGGCCACTGAGCCTGCGCGTCCGGAGCCTGTTGCTCCGCAACGGAGAGGCCACAACAGTGAGAGGCCCGCGTACCGCAAAAAAAAACAACTAAAAATAGAACTACCGGATGTCCCTGGTGGAGCAGTGCTTAAGAATCCGCTTGCCAATGCAGGCGACACCGGTTCGATCCCTGATCCGGGAAACTCCCACATGCCGCGGAGCAACTAAGCCCATGCGCCACAACTACTAAGCCTGTGCTCTAGAGCCCGTGAGCCAGAACTACTGAGCCCACGCGCCACAACTACTGAAGCCCGCGCATGCTAGAGCCCGCATGCAACAACCACTGAACCTGCATGCTGCAACCACTGAAGCCCGTGTGCCTAGAGCCCATGCTCTGCAAAAGAGAAGCCACCACAGTGAGAAGCCCGCACACTGCATGAAGACCCAACACAGCCAAAAATTAATTAATTAATTAAAAATAGAACTAGCATATGACCCAGCAATTCCACTCCTGGGTATTTATCTGAAAAAAAAATGAAAACACTGTTTGAAAAGATACATGCACCCCATTGTTCATAGCAGCATTATTTACAATTGCCAAGATATGGAAGCAACCTGTGTCCATCAAAAGATGAATGGATAAAGAACAAGTGAGCCTAGGGATTTCCCTGGCAGTCCAGTGGCTAAGACTCCGTGCTCCCAATGTAGGGGGCACAGGTTCGATCCCTGGTCAGGGAACTAGATCCTGCACACTGCAACTAAAAGATCCCGCATGCCTCAACTAAAAGATCCCACACACCACAATGAAGATCCCGTGTGGCACAACTAAGACCCAGCATAGCCAAATAAATAAATATTTAAAAAAAGGAACATGTGAGCATATATATGTGTGTGTGTGTGTGTGTGTGTGTGTGTGTGTATATATATACACACATATATATATGCACACATACACAATGGAATACTACTCAGCCATAAAAAAGAATAAAATTTTGCCATTTGCAGCAACATGGATGGACTTGGAAGGTATTATGCTAAGCGAAATAAGTCCGACAGAGAAAGACAAATACTGTAGGATTTCATTTCTATGTGGAATCTAAAAAATAAAACAAACTAGTGCATATGAGAAAAAAGAAACAGGACTTCCTTGGTGGTGCAGTGGTTAAGAATCCGCCTGCCAATGCAGGGGACACGGGTTTGAGCCCTGGCCCAGGAATATCCCAAATGCTGTGGAGCAACTAAGCCCATGCACCACAACTACTGAGCCTGCGCTCTAGAGCCCACGAATCACAACTACTGAGCCCGTGTGCCACATCTACTGAAACCTGCGCACCTAGAGCCCGTGCTCTGCAATGAGAAGCCACCACAATGAGAAGCCCATGCACCGCAACGAAGAGTAGCCCCCGCTCTCTGCAACTAGAGAAAGCCCGCGCTCAGCAACGGAGACCCAACACAGCCAAAAATAAATAAATATTTTTAAAAAGTAGTTTTAAAAAAAAAGAAACAGACTCAGATATAGAGAACAACTTAGTGGTTACCAGTTGGGAGAGGGAACGAGGGAGAGGCAAGATAGGGGTAGGGTATTAAGAGGTACAAACTACTATGTATAAAATAAATAAGCTAAAAGGATATATAGTGTAACAGGGAATATAGTCAATATTTCATAATAACTATAAATGGAATAGAACCTTTAAAAATTGTGAATCACCATGTTGTACACCTGAAATTTATATAACATTGTACATGAACTATACCTCAATTGCCCTCAAAAGGCATAGGTGGAATGCAACAGATTGGCAGCCATGATGACACAGTGTAATATGGGCCAGCGTAGCAGCTGTTCTGGTAACTTCACCTACTACCTTTCCTTCATGATTACCCCACCTCCCATCTCCAGCCTGAATATAAAACTACTGCTGGATAGCTTCCCAAACGTCCCACGTGAACCCAGCACTCCCTCAACTTCCGATCACCCCAATTGTTTCTTATTTCCAGGATTGTCTTGACTACCCACCCAGCTGACCAAGCTAAAAACATGTGCATCCACCTTTACCCTCCCCTCTCCATCCAGGCAGTTATATGGAATCAAGCCCAGATGAATCTACGCCCATGTCTCTTTTCCATTCCCTGATCTTCTTGTGGTTGTCAGTTTTCCTAAACTAGGGTGTGAACCTCCTCCAAGACTGGCTTCCAGACTCTCTCCATCCTCTACTTTGCCCACAAAAGAGCCTCTGATCATGGGGGGTCACTGATCAGAAACTACTCAGGTTGCTGAATTTTGAAATTTTTCATAATAAAATTCTGGGGGAAAAACAGTCAGGGTGTATTGTTGATGCAAGCAACAGAAGACTTCACTCCATAGTATAATAACCTAAACATTTAATCTTCTAAAGACTAACATGATGGTGCTTTGAAATAATTTTTAAATGCCCATTTCATTATGTCTTTTGTAGTTAAATTTATATGAAGTAATGCAAGAGAGAAGAGATATGGGGACATATGTATATGTATAACTGATTCACTTTGTTATAAAGCAGAAACTAACACACCATTGTAAAGCAATTATACTCCAATAAAGATGTTTAAAAAAAATTTATAAAGTAAACACAACCGGCTATCTGTATAAAAAGAGTCCACTCAAACTAGATTAAGTAGGAAAGGAATTTATGGGGAAAGGGAAATTGGATAAAGGTGATCAAATGATACAAACTTTCAGTTATAAGATAAATAAATACAAGGGATGTAATGTATAACATGATGAGCAAAGTTAACACTGCTGTATGGTATAGCTGAAAGTTGTTAAGAGAATACACCCTAAGAGTTCTCATCACAAGGAAAAAATTTTTTTCTTTTTTTTTGTATCTATATGAGATGATGGATGTTAACCAGACCTATTGTGGTAATCATTTCCTAGTATATGTAAGTCAAATCATCATGCTGTGCACCTTAAACTTATACAGTGCTGTATGTCAACTATATTTCAATAAAACCGGAGGGGGAAAAAAGGGGATTTATTGGCTTATGTAACTTCAAAGTCCAGGATTCAAACGATGTCATCAGGACCCAGTTTCTCTCTCTGACCCTCGGCTCCACTTCTTCTGCAGTTCTATGCTCAGAGAGATCTTCACCTCTGGACCCAGAACTGCATTCTTTCAGATCTCTGTCCAGGGAAGAGAGCACTTCACTCCATGCAATTAGAGAACAAAGCCCTGGGCTTGGCTCCCATTGGCCCAAATTGAGTCACATGGCTACCCTAAACCAATCACTATGGCCAGAAGGATGACAGCGATGATTGGTTTAGCCCTAAATCACCCAGGTAATTTAAGGATGAGCTAGAGCCAACTCCCCCAGAACCACTTTCCTGAGAGTAAATAAGGTGTGGGACCCAAAAAATCTGGGGGCTGTTACTGGAATCAGGGTGAATGAATGCTGAGAAACTCACAGCTTGGTCCTTATTTTTCTCATTTTTCCTGAAGACTGCCTCCCCAGTCTCCCTCAGCAAGCACGTCAGAACCAATATTAAAACGCAGGCTTCTCACTGTCCCAGGCTTCAACTTGAGCTTGGTCTCACACTCTCCTCGTCTCCCACCCAGGTATGAGCAGATCCCCATGGGGGAGAAACTGGCCAGTCATACAGGGTCCATAGTTGAGCTCCAGGCTGGAGTGAGGTCAGTCTATAATAGGTAGTTTTGGACATTCCTCAAGGGCTAGGATTTGGGGGGGGGGGGCAAAGTTATAAATAGGAGTGGGGAGGTATATTAATTTCCTACTAACGCTCTAACAACCACAAACTTAGTGGCTTAATACAAATCTATTACAGTTTTGGAGGTTGGAATTCTGTCTCATAAACTAAAGTCAAGGTGTTGGCAGAACTGCATTCCTTTCTGGAGGGTCTAGGGAAGAATCCACTTCCTTGCCTTTTCCAGCTTTGAGGCTGCCTGCATTCCTTGGCTCATGACCCCTTTCATCTTCAAAACCAGCAAGAGCTGGTTGACTCTTATTATCACATACGCTGACTCTTCAGCCTCTCTCTTCCACATTTGACTCCTGTGATTACACTGGGCCCACCCAGATAATCCAGGATAATCTGTTTTAAGGACTGCTAATTAACAACCTTAATACCATCTGCAACCTTAATTCCCCCTTGCCATATAAATAACATACTAACAAGTCTCCAGGGATCAAGCCATGGACATCTTGGGGGTGGGAGGCCTCCCCCAACAAAGGTCACTATGTCCTGGGACCAGTTCTTAAGTGGACAGAGGGAGAGGCTCCCTTCTTGGAGCTGTTGGGTAGGGCACGTTAGATACATACCATAACCTAGTCCTAGCTGCTGTTCTCACTAGGCCACTGCCCTGAATCAGACTTGAGAGAGTGGCTCAGTCAGGAATAAAGAAATGTGACATCACCAGGCTGAGTATGGGGGACCTCCTCAGAGGGTAGCTGGGCTTTGTGGGATGCTGAGAATCTAGGAGAACCTATGGGGGGTTAGTCATGATGCTGCTTAAGTCAACAGAAGAAGGGGAAGGAAAGTATGATGGCCTGGCGGCCTAGAAACTGGAAGAGGGTATCCATTTTAATCATCCAGCAACTACTGCCCACTGGGGAAGAGAGGTGGAAGGGCATGAACTGCAGCCAGAGGGGACTGGAGCTCAGACAGTGCTCAACCCATCTGAACGAAGCAACCTTTCTGGCTTCACCCAAGTAGCTTCTGGGCTTTGGAATCATTTGCACTGGGTTCAAATCCCACTGTGCCAGTTATAGGCTATGTGCACCTGGGAAAGTGGCCTAACTTCTCCGAATCTCTTGTTCCTCATCTATTAAATGAGAATGATACCACCATGTTCTTCATGTGGCTAATATGAATTAGAAGTTCTTTTTAAAAAAAAGTTGTAAGCTCTTAAGGAACATTCTAGAAGGGAGGACTGTCAGATAGTCTAAAAGAAGCCCTAGCATGGATTGGTGATTAGGCTATTGTTGAGAGCACAAGTCTTGAGACAGACACGGGGTTGAATTCTGCCCTTACCATAACTAGCTGTGTGAGTCTGGACAAGACACTTAACCTATGTAAGCCCCAGTCATAGAATACATTTATTGTGTACCAAATCTGAGGCAAGCAGCTTCTTGCTATGTAAAGTCAGAAAAATATTAGTACCTCATTCCTAAGGTTGATGTAAACTTGAAGTTAGATGCTCATAAGCAACTTGATTCAGTGCCTGGTGTGCAGGAGCTTCACTCAAATGTTAGGATAACTCCACCTGGGTGGAAAAAGGGGATGAGGAGAACAGGGAGCTAACTTGACTGGAAAAGCCACTGGATGTCCTGTGATGTTGCGGGCATCTCTGAGCACAGACCTCAGCGTCTAATTCGCAGCCGGTATGACCAGCAGGCTCACTCAGTGTAGACACAAGCTGGCTGGCTCCTGGCCAGCTCAAGGTGTTTCCCTTTGCCTGGAAACCGGAAGGTGTGGCTGAGGCAGGGCATGGAGGAGAGCAGCTCAACTAAAAAGTGGTGGAGAGGAGCCCCGCTCTTGGATATCTCTGGTTCCCCCAAATGCTGGGGACCAGCTCCCCCAGGCTGAAGGAGGCAAGTGAGTAGGGAGCCACCTGGGAAGAGCATTTCAGGACTGGGGGCTTGAAAAAGGCTTGGGTCCTTCTTGCCTGCTGGGAGCCTGGGGTTTGGGTCCAGCCCTAGGACAAGAGGTGAGGTGGGAGCTGAACTCCTTAGGAAGAGTTCCCCGAACTCCGGCACACGTGTAGGGCCCCCTGCTGTGAACCAGCGCCCCAGGTAACCAGGCCCCAGGGTCGGTGGTGGAGATGAGAACAAAGTGCACCCACACCCCCACCCCAGGTCTGGACCAGGACGAGGCCCCAGTAGCAATGCCGGCCGCCTGAGCTTCACACCATGTATACATACTGCTGCCTGGCGCCTGGGCAGGACGTCTGGCCTCTGCTGCAGCACCTCACCTACACCTACCTGCCCGCCCCTCCGCTGCTGCCCCCCATTCAGGCCCACAACTTCTGCAGCCGGCCCCCGAGCCTGAGCGCGGGCGAGTGGGCGGCTCCGCGGGAATACCACTGCTTCCACGCCACAGGCGCGACGCTAGTGATCACGCCGCCCTTGTGGGCCTTCCCGCAGGCCTACGCTGCGGCCCTGCAACCGCCGTTCCCAGCGCCCGGCTACCCAGGGCCGTCGCTTCAGGAGCCCGCAGATGCGGAGCTGGCGGCGGTCGAGAGCGGGACGCAGTGGCCGGAAGGCAGCAGCCTGCACGCTGAGCTGCACTGGGGCCGCGTGGAACGTACGCTACGGCCGGGCCTCAATCTGCCGGACTTCGTGCGCCGTGAGTTGCGACGAGCGTACGGCACGTACCCACGCACCGACGTGCGCGTCACCTATCGCGGCGGCGAGTTCCTGCTGCAGGGCGTGCCGCGCGTGCGCGAGCCCGAGTACCGTACGGAGAGGCGAGTGCTGCGCCGGCCAGCCAGCAGCTGCAGCGGCTACAGCATCCCCGCGGGGGAAGCGGCGGAGCGCGGCTGCCGGAAAAAGGGGAAAGACTTGAACTGAGGGTGCCGCGAGGCCCGGCGGCCGGCCAGGGTGAGCACGCGCGCGGCTCTCCTCCTGCCGCCACAGCTATGCGCTGGGGCTGGGTGCACCTGTCACCTCTTTTTTTTTTTAACCACCGCCCACTTCCTGCACTTCCTTGATTTCTCTCAGGTTATTGCTGGATGGCAGGGCAAGGGCGAGAATGGATCAAGGACATCTCTGGGTGGGTGTCCTGTTACTCCTTCCTTCTACTTGGACTTGGGAAGCCTGAGTGTGTGTGGTGGAAGGAGGGCCTGAACCCTTTGTTTCCTCTCTCCTTCCTCCCCATCTTCTTCCTCTTTGAAGCCTGCCCTGCAATAAGCCCCCACTTTCGCTTTTTCCTCTCCTCCCTCCAGCAAAGCTCTCCAAACTCCCCAAGCTGAGGGCCCACCTATCCCCAGCTTGTAAGAAAAGTAAATAAATGAGTGAAGTCAAGTGTAGGCTTCAAGATCATTTTTATGCTTGGGGATAGGGGTTTTTCTTCATCTGTGTAAGGTGAGCCTTACTTTCCATCTTGGGGTACAAGGTGTTGGAGGTGAGGATTAGAGTGGACCTCTGGAAAAAGTATGCTTCCTCACTGGCTGGGCCTCACTCTCCCTTAACCAGCTCCCTTCCAGTGCAGGAGGACACTCTTCTAGGTCCTGAGGCCCACCACCCCCAGAGAGATTCGGAGGGCATAAGCTATTTTGTTGAGGCGTGGGTGACAGGCATGGCTGAGGAAGGCTGAGGAGGGGATCCATAATCAGATCCATAATGGCTCTGACATTTTCTAGACTCTGAGCCTCGGTTTCTTCATCTGTAAAAGAAGAAGAAAACGAACCCAGCCTACGTGGAAAATTTACCAACGTTTAAATTTAAGATGAATGTCACCTCTTGTCTCCTGATTCTTGCTAACAGTGTTTAATAGGGTGAATTTGCAATATTATAGGAGTTTGCTGGAGGGTTAGACCACACATCCAATTTTAACTAAGGGTCTGGCCAGACCACCTGATCTGATGCCCAAGCTGTATAAATTTGGCTCCTATTGGAATTGCTTTCACTGATCTTCCATTTGTGGTTGGCCAACAGCTACCTGGATATACAGGTATGTTATTGAAGCTGTAGATCACTTGATTGAACACTGCTGTAGTTATGAGCTTCATGGAGAAGTTCTATTAAACCTCAGCATTTGGTAAAGATGTTTCTACTGATAAGTTGTTTGCTTTTATCTTTGAATCACCAAGGATCTCATAATTGATCATATTTTTCTATTTGCCCTGGTTTCCAGGGAGCCAAATTTGCTTAGCATCTTTTGTGTAAAACCTTGATCCTGAACTGTTACCCCTAGTTTCATCTTATTTTCCTTTCCTTTTTTATTTTTTAATTATAAAGACACAGGGAGGTGTTGTAGTGTGATGGGTTTGCTGTGTGACCTTAGATGAATTGCTTAATGTCCCTGAACCAATTTCCTCATTGCAAATGGGGATGATGGTATTATGACCTATCTCATAAGATTATTGAGAAGGTACTGTGAAATCCTGCACAAAAAATGTTTACCACAGTGCCTGTCATGTACTAAGTGCTCAAAGGGTAGTGTTTGTTCTTAAAAAGTAGTCTGCAATACAGAAATTTATAAAATAGGAAGTTAAAATCTGTTCTAATATCTCTCACCCCCAAATGATCACTGAGGTCCAATCTAGTATTTTTTACTATTTTTTTCTGTTCACCTAGTATTAATTACATAAAATGAATTGCACAGTTTTGCTTGTTGCATTATACATTAAGTATATCTTGGACATCATTTTATGCCAATGCACATGGAGTTACCTCATTCTTTAACAGTCATCCAATATTCTATAGCATTTGGATTCTTTCCAGTTTTTAGCTATTAAAAGTCCATCCAACAAATTTCTTGAGTGCCTTTTATTTGCCAGGAACTGTGGTAGGCCCTGAGGATACCATAGTGAATGAGACAGCCATGGCAGTTTCTGTCCTTATGGAAGACATTTAAGCTGAGATCTAAAGAATATGAAGAAGCTAGCCATGCAAAGAGAAGGGTGAGGGGAAGCCAGGCAGGAAGTATGGTGGGTGCAAACGTCCCAAGGAATGAAAGTTATCTTTATTCACTCGACAGGCATTTGAGAGCCCACAGTTTGCTGGGCAGTGTTCTAGGCACTGGTACTACGGGAGAAAAACCAAACAACTCCCTGCCCTCGTGGAGCCTACTTTAGAGGTGTAATGTAGAGAAACAGAGACTGACAACAAGCAAATGGGAATATACGATGTAATGTCATACAGTGATAAGTAATGGGGTGCTGTTTTCAACAGGATAATTAGGGAAGGCTTCTCTGAAGAGGTGACTCTTGAGTGGAGACCTAATAAAGACCTTTACGAGCCATTTGAATAGCTGGGGGAGAAAAGCAAGTACAAACACCCTTTGGCTGGGGTGTCCTTGTCCCGTGAGCGAGCGGGAAAGTGATAATTAATGAGGTTACAGATGAGGCTGGATCCTGTGGTACCTTGAAGCCATGTAGAAAAATTTGGATTTTATTCTTAGGGGATGGAGGGTTATGAGCAGGGGGAAATGTGATGAGTTTTTTTTTTTTTTTTTTAAGTTATTCTGGATACTGTGTGGAAAAGAGACTATAGAGGGGCCATTTTGAAAATCGGGAGAGCAGTTAGGAGGCTTTTGAAGTAATACAGGCAAAAAATAAGCTGATGGCTTGGTCTTATTTGGAAGCTGTGAGGGTAATGAGAATAAATGTCCTTGAATATGCATCTTTATTCACATACACGAGTGTTAAATTGTGGAATCTGAAGTCTTAGAATTAGAAATTGAATCATTGAACAATGCCACCCTAGCAGCACAAGCACAGCCAGTGCCTAGATCTTTGGTTCTAAATTACATTCTCCAGTAAAAGGAACCAGTCCCCTCAGGAAAATGGCTGATTCCAAGGCTGTGGCAGGGAAGGTACAAGATGAGACTGGAACAACTTGTGCCAGAAAATAAAGGACTGATCAAAAATGTCAAAAGAACAAAGGAGCCAACTTGAAGGGACTTCCACTGACCAAATCAAGGACAATTTAAGCATCGAAACAAATAATCACAGTAACAGATTATAACCTGCTGAATAAAATAAGGATCCCTAGGTCCATACTAATGCTAACTAAAAAGTACATATGAAAGGAAAGCTCTTCCTTATAGTAGAAGTAATGATGAAATTAGAAAATCACCATTCCCAATCATCAGAGTAATGATTGATTCCGGTGAGAATCATTTCTGAATACTAAAACTGATGGGTGAAAGTTTGATGTGAAACTGGATATTTATATAGTTTCAAATATGTTCCAATAAGATATTTATTAATTACAAATTTTAAAATAGTAACCTGAAAAAAAATAGTAACGTGATAATATAATATAGAAAACTGGTGGATAACACTTTAACCCCATTGCAGTAGTCCCTCTTAAAGTCTTTCTTACCATCTTTAATGGGTTTCTTTAAAAAATTTTTTTTCAATTTATTTATTTATTTTTGGCTGCATTGGGTCTTCGGTGCTGCGCACGGGCTTTCTCTGGTTGTGGCACGCAGGCTTCTCACTGCGGTGGCTTCTCTTGTTGCAGAGCACGGGCTCTAGGCGCGCAGGCTTCAGTAGTTGTGGCGCACGGGCTCTAGAGCGCAGGCTTAGTGGTTGTGATGCACAGGCTTAGTTGCTCCGCGACGTGTGGGATCTTCCCGGACCAGGGATTGAACCCATGTCCCCTGCACTGGCAGGTGGATTCTTAACCACTGTGCCACCAGGGAAGTCCCTAAAATTTTTTCTTTAACAGAGACAAATTGACATCATATACTGTCTGATATGTTAAACTGAAAAATACAACATCAGTTCAGCAGTAAGGCATAATCATGAGGAAACCTCAGATAAACCTAAATTGAGAGAAAATTGTTCAAAAATGTCAATGTCATAAAAGACAAAGGTTTCAGGTCAAAGGAGACAAAAAGAGGCATGAAAACTAAATGCAACACATGATCCTGTTTTGGATCCTGGACGAGGATGAAAATTGTTGTGAAGGACAGTGTCGGGACAAGTAACAAGATTTGAATGAGGACTATAGATTAGAGAAAGCAGCATGGCAAAACGTTAACAGTTGGTCAATCTGGTAGAAGGCTAAGCCAGAGTTCTTTGTACGATTCTGGCTACTTTTCTTTAAGTTTGAAATAATTTCTAACTAAAAATAAAAATAGCAATAATAAGTAAATTGAATCTCTGGATCAAAAAGGATACACACTTAAAATGTACTCTGTCACAGGTTTTATGTTTTAATCTTAGAGAATTGTCTGCATGCTGGTAAGCCTCCTCTAATCCTTTTTTTGAAACAAGGCAGGCTTCAAGTAAATCATGAGTCTCATACCAAGTTAGGTGTGTTCTGAATCCCCTTCCTTCTCTATCGTCTCAGGTCCAGACCCTTGAAGTCTCTCAACTTCCCCCATCTCGGGACTTCCCTGGTGGCTCAGTGGTTAAGAATCCGCCTGCCAATGTAGGGGACGTGGGTTTGAGCCCTAGTCCGGGAAGATCCCACATGCCGCGCAGCAACTAAGCCCATGCGCCACAACTACTGAGCCTGCACTCTAGAGCCCGTGAGCCACAACTACTGAGCCTGCGAGCCACAACTACTGAAGCCCGCGTGCTCTAGGGCCCACGTGCCGCAGCTACTGAGCCCGCATGCCTAGAGCCCGTGCTCCACAACAAGAGAAGCCACTGCAATGAGAAGCCCACGCACCGCAACGTGAAGAGTAGACCCCGCTCACCGCAACTAGAGAAAGATCGCACGCAGCAACGAAGACCCAACACAGCCAAAATTAATTAATTAATTTTAAAAAAAGAACTAAGTACACATCTCCCAAAATTCCATTCACAGGAATTTAAAAACAAAAAAAACACTTCCCCATCTCTGAGAATCTGCATTGCTCACATTCTTCCCCCAAGTCTTCCACATATGCCCTGGAAATGCCCAGAGACTGCAAACAATATACCCCTATCCACCAGCCCCAGTGAGGGAGGAGGCCCCCAATTACAGGCTTTTTGAAGGAAGTGCTGCCACTCAGCTCAGTCCAACATGCCAATCTTTCCAAACCCCAGTGCTTGCTCCAGCCCTAAGGATGTAAAGAAGCCCTGCAGGGAGCCTAGATGCTTCTTTGTTCTTTTCTTTGAACTTAACCCTTAGAACTCATAAAACATCTGGGCTGCCAGGGACTTTACTGTTCACCTGGCCCAACCTCCTCAGGTGACCTTATGCTGGGAAACCGAGGCCAGAGAGAAGGAGTGACTCACCCAATGTCACACAGTAGGTGGGAATCCAGAGCTTCTAGATCCTAGCAGGGCTTGGGCTACCAAACTCATCTTGGTGGCCTTCTCCTCCTGGCCTTGCCCCAGCTTTACCCAACCCTGGCATCTGGTCTAGAGCCCTTTGCTCAATAAACCCTGACTGACCAATTTTAAACCCTGTCCTACCTCCCAGCTGGGTAGCTCACATCCTACTGAAGGGAGGATAATAAGAATCATAACAGGGAGTTCCCTGGTGGCCCAGTGGTTAGGATTTGGTGCTTTCACAGTGGAGGCCCAGGTTCCATCCCTGGCCAGGGAACCATCCCGCATGCCATGTGACATGGCACAGCCAAAATACACACACACACACACAACAAAAAGAATCATAGCAATCTCACACACTTAACTCAGAACTTACTATGTGCAGGCACTGTGCTAGAGCCCTGTACAAAAACTATCATTTAATCTTCACCCTTGATGTGGATATAATTATTATTCCCATTTATAGATTAGGAAACTGAGGCCGATAGAAGTTAACAACTTACCCAAGGGTACACACAGAGAATACACCTGGGAAATCTGACTGTAGCCTTAACATCTAGGCCAAACTGCCTCTTCATACATGAGACACACTCAGCAAAATACAAGGAACGTTTATTGAACAGCCACTCTGTGTAGAACACAGGACTAGACACTCTGGGGCTCATGAATCAAGCCCCACTGGAAGCGGAGTGCGGAGGATTTGTAGGAGATCGTATGCATCATTGAGGGGTTGAAGAAGATTCTTGTAAGAGGCATCTGAGAGAGGCTTTGAAGGATGTATAGGATTCCAACAGATAGCGATGGAATGGAGGTGTCCCAGGGAGAACTGAGGAGGGATCAGCATGAATAAAAGCATGGCAGCGGGAGCAGGAAGTAGCAGGGTTTCATTGGAGGACAGGTTATAACCAGGGAGCAATGGAAGATCAGGCTTGAAAGCTAAGTGGAGGCCATACTTTGAAAGACTTTAATGGCAAAGTGAGGAGTTTGGGGGAGCCATTGAAGTCTTTGACAAGAAGAGTAACTCGAAGTTATTAAAAGTTCTGGCAGGTGGCAGCACCTGGCTGGGACGCTGTGAGTCTGAGACAGCAGGTCCCCCATGACCTCAGTATTGACAGTACAGCACAGCCGGGCACCAGAACTGAGTCCCCAGGGCATTTGCTAGAGCTCACAGCCTATGGAATTCAGTTCTCAGAGCCAGATGGCCAAAGTTCTCTTAGCCTTGATGCTGCCCTCCTGTGCTCCCTTCTGTGAATTTTCCCCCATTCCCAGGATGTGTCAGAAGAGGAACCTGGGATCTCAATATTCCTCCTATCCCATCGAGGGTCTGAGCTCGGAGCTGAAAATAGGGGCCCATTGCTAGGGAAAGAGGTAAGGGTTCTCTAAATTCTAACAGGATACTGATGTAGGATATGAGGGGAGGGGACTCAGGGCTGTGGTAGGGATTCCGTGGGTACTGCAGAGTCAGACCCGTCATCTCCTGCCCAGATACGCTCCTGGTGGGGCCAGATGTGGAACTGGATGGGCAAGGGGCTAGGGGAACAGCCAGAACATGTACACTGAGAAGGGCATTTCTCTAGAGAATGAGTAGCTTCCTGAGCCAAAGAGGACCCACAAAATATGGATCCCCAAGGTAGAGGGAGGTCCAGGAGTCCCAGCTCCCTGAAAATCTCCCCACCTGAAGTGAAGATCTGAAGTACCTGGGATAGATAAGGGAGCAGAAGAGAAAGACTTCCCTGAAACACACGTTGACTTTCTACAAAGTTAAACTGAGGGCTGGGGTGCTATTCCCATTCACAGGGCAGACCTGCAGCCTATCCCTGGAGATGGGAGAGGCAAGCTGGCAGGCTCAGGAGTCACCCTACCCCCACCCTGCTTGAGTTGAGAGAAAGGGGTCTGCACTTACCCATGAAGCCTCTTCTCTCCCTCCTGGAGCTGGATCTACAGTGATGCTCCCAGAGACTGCTCCTTAAATAGGGCCCGCCCCAGCCAACTCCCGCCCCCGCCCCATCCTGGCTCTTCTGAGAAAGGAGGAAGGTGTGGGAGGGCCAGGCACCCTGCCCAGAGAGCCCTTGCTGACCTCAAGCAAGAGTGGGTACCCCCCTCTTCCCCCCCACCCCATCTTTCAAAGCGTTCCCTTCCTCACCTCAGCCTCTGAGTCCCTCCCACCCCTTGAGACCAGCCAGCTGGGTTCTTTCTCTGCTCTTAATGTCTGGGAAATCTGCTCTTTATGCCTAATTCAAGCCCAATTTCCTCATTCTGAGGTTGGATGATGGGGAATTGATGTGCTAGGGGAAGCTTCAGCGCAGGCTTCTGGCTTCTCCCATCAGCTCAGGAGACCCAGCATCTGTTGCAGAATTCGTCTGACGGAATGGGGAGAGAGGAGGTATCGCTATACCTCCTTTCACCTCATGTAGCTTCAAGCACCACCCAAAGCGTAAGTGGGGTTTGTTCCCATCCTGTGGAGAGAGATTGAGACCTGAGGGGACAGCAAATCGGGAGCTTAAGGTCTAGCCTGCTATGGAATGTCGAGAAGGACAAGTGATCCCTGGATCCCCTGCCTTACAGTTTGTGTGTGTCCTTGTGCCTGTGGTGGTCCCTCTCCTCAGCCCACTCTCTGTCCTCTGACTCCAAAACCTAACCCTTGCTGCACAGAGTTGAGACTCTCCAGGGTCTGAACTGGGAATTGAGGGGCTCCCTCTAAATGGTCTTTCCCATCATCCTTCCCTGAAAGCTCAGGAAGTTCTTTCCCACGATAATATGTAGCTACATCCAACTGCTATTCAAGAAACAGGCCGTGGGGGAGGGGGAATGGTATGCCTCAGGGATGGCCACAAGAGTCCTGAGCCAGGACTAGGGACAGCTCTTCTGAGGAAACCTGAAAATTCCTGTAATGGGGGTGGTAGGGAGAGGAGACTCATCATCAGTATTGTGCAACGGAGGGGGAGGGAGGATAGGGGACTGGGGGAGGGGGGCGATGGCCAAGTCTTCAGAGGGCTGGCAGCTATCCGTCACCCCTTTCCCAGGGGCCTGCTTGGCCAGAGTTGAAAGTGGCTGTCACCTCACCCCTCATTAACCCCAGCAGCACCAGGCTGGCAGCAGCAGTGCTTTTATGGGAGACACGTTGCTAAAGGTGCTCCCTCCTTCTTCCCTCCCCTTTCCTGCCCCCTCTCCCCAGCAGCCAACATCTTGCTCTCTTTGAGGCCAGACGATCCTGGTGGGGAGGTGGGAGGCTGCTGTGAGGGACAGGACTGGAAGAGGGAGCAGTGATCCCCTTTTTCTCCATATTTTGGCACTGCCTCAGTCCTTAGGGAAGAGAGGATGGGACCTTCTACCTTGGACTGTGAGCTCCTGTGGATAGGGACAATCTCTGGGTCCCCAGCGCCCTACAAGGGGACTAGCCCTAAAAAGAGGCTCATCCCTGCTGATCGGGGATGGGAGAGTTCATCCTTGAATGGAACTCCTTCCCTCATGACCCATTAAAGGGTTCTTGGGAAGGGAAGGCTATGGGCTTCCCCACAGGGTAGCGCCAGGAAGCTCCGTAGCAGGAAGAGAAAGAGGAAGCTGAGGCCTTACAGGGTACTGGAGTTCAGCCGTCCTGTCATAAATGAGAAGCCCTGCCAACTCAGGCATGAAGTTACTGGGGGTGGGCATGGCCTGCAGGCCGTCCTGGATCTGCACTCAGGTGGATCCTCGCTCAGAGCACCTGCTGCCCCGCCTTCCCCATCCAAACGAGGCTCCAGGTCCCAAGACCCAGGCCCTGTAACCCACACTAATCTTGGGGAAACATCGCTGTTAAGAGAATACAAAGGAGAGTTAGATATGGCGGGTAAGTCAGCACCTAAGAGTTGTTGGGTGACAGGGCTTGAATATGGACTGGACACGAAGGGGGAGAGACGGGATTTGGGGAAGAACACTGGGTCTAGGAGTAGGGCCACCAGAACCAACCAGGGAGAGACAAGGGCGGGGTGGGGGTGGGGAAGCTACAGGATTTGAGGGCGGAGATTTGGGGGCGAGGAAATAAGACGGATGGGAAGACACCAGGTGTGGTCAAAATGTTCTCCCGTCTGAGCAGACGGCAAGGCACTAGAAGGGGATACAGTCAGTCACTGAGACTCCACCCACTGGCTGGACCTCCACGCCTAACTCCTCCCTACTCTCAACAAAAATGGCCGCCGCGGGATCTCGCCCAAAGCTCTGAGACAAATGAGAATGGTAG